CACTATAAAAGTGATCGAAACTCAAAAAAAGTGACAGAATTTAGAAAAAGTAGTAACTAGTTAGCAATCAAGAACAGGATGGGGAAAATGGAAAACAAATATTTCCCCCTTTAGATCCATAACATTAATTGTACGGAAAATGGAAAAGAAGTTGTGAACTATCAGAACACAAATATAATTCATAACCAAAAAAATCTTACAAAGCATAAATAGTTCTACAGGTGGATTTTCTATCCAAGATTACAAGTTCTGTATAACTCCAAAGCTAAGGAAAAGTAAGAACCAGCATACCGTAACACTTTGAAGTAAAAATGCAGAAAATGGCGTCTCTATATAAACTGAAACATCCTACTCATCCATAGAAACTGTTTACCTTCTCTAGAAACATCCTACTCATCCATACAAGTTCTATTTTTTTGGGTGAATTGTATCACTTTTTAATAAATGTGACAATGTCACTTTTCAATAAAAAGTTAAGTGTAATGTCACTTTTTAATTAAAAAATATGACATATAATATCAATTTCATTAAAAATTTGAAGTGAAATACAATGTCACTTGTATTAAAATACTTTGCAATAAAAGTGACAAGGCATCTTTAAGCTAGTGCACCTCCACTGTCATTTACCAACTCAATCGTCATCCCTCCTCTTTCTTCGTCGCCTCCACTAAGCACAAAAAACTATACACGTGATAGAAGAAAATCAAACTCAAACATGAACATATTCAATAATGACAAACACTATTCAAAAAATTGACAAACAAAAAAAGTGACATTTTTTTAAATAAAATGACAAAACACCAGTGAAAACCTTAACATATATCATTTATGCAAATTCAACCACTCCTACACCACCACCACCACTCTAAGAACCAAGGCTCCAAAACCATTTTTGGCTCATTTCTCCAATACCCAACAAAAACTTGCTGCCAAATATCAGACGTGTCTATTCCATTCCAATAACAATCCATTATGAAAATCCGCATCAGTATCATAATTTACTTAAAAAGTAAATCCCGAAACTAGGGTTACTGTATTTTCTTCTTCAACATATCCAAAAAAATAGCGTGGAATGTTTATTGATTTCGAGTTGAAAAAAACGTGTAATTGATTGATGAACACAGGAGTTGGAACAAAGAAAAAATGGAGGGAAATCAATTGATAGGAAGGGAACTTTTAATCGATTTATGCAAATTAAAATTTATCTCTTCTTTTTAATCGTTTCTCAAATGATTCAAGAAATTCATCATGCACAACCGAAAATTCAACATGAATCACTAACTGCATACACTGGCCTGTTTTATAAACATTTTAAAGGCCAGTGAACTATTAACATATTTTTCGAAACTAAATCTCCTTTCTAAATGCAATTTCCTCTACATAGCCAATCATTTACAAATGAGAAATTTAACTTAACCTATAAAACAAAACTACCCCAAAAATCTCTCCACTTACTAGCAGAATCCAACAATCATCAAGCTTCAACTTCACCTTTACCTCCCTGGCTACTCCAATTAACCGCTATACACCTAGTCGATCAAACCCAATCTATTGCCGGCTACTCCAATTGACATCACCCCACCATCCCTCATCGGCCAAAACACCAAAAGCATAAACATAGACCAAATGCTTCGTGTAGCGCCACATTTGTGGTCTGTAGTCAATTGGGAGATTTCGAAATTTTGTTTCAGTTTAGGAAGTATTTAATACGGGGTTTATGTGATGTTTAATTAACTAAGAGTATTAATCTAATTTGGTTACTTTTTAGAGGATTGGACCTAATTTCCCCTATATATTAAGTCATACCTAGCCCAAACGTGATGGGTCCGAATAGTCAACCAAAATTCACATTCGAAATTTGGCCACAAATATTTTAATGGGAAGAGTTCACAAATCAGGTATTTACAATTGCAAAAATCAGGTATTAAGTTTAAAAAACCCGAAACTCAGGTATTTAGTTAATTAATTAAAAATAATTATTAATTAAATATAATAAATTCACAATTATACAATTAATAGTCACATGTACATAATTATATGTCATAATTTATTTATTGGTCACATAATATTAAGAACTTGTTTGGTAGATATTAAAATCAGATTAAAATTGAAAATTAACCGTTATTGTTGATTTTTATTAAAGGAGTGAGATCTAATAACGGTTATATTTTCAATTTTACTTGAATTAAAATCCCCTCCAAACAAGTTCTAGATTAATTGGTCACAAATTATTTCGAGTTCACAAATCAAAAATTTTATATGTCACAATTTATTTCATTGGTCACAGATCAAAAAAAGCATAGGTCAAATTTATCTATCGGTCACATATTTTCAAATTTATTGGTCACAAATTATTTTTTAGTCACAAATTATCGAATTTTAAGGTCACGGTTTAATGGTTAGTCACAATAAACCAAATAGTTGGTCACATATATCAAACACCCCACCCTCGATCCTTATTCACCACCAATACTTGGTCAAAAATTAACCAAATAATTGGTCACAAACTTTATCCCACCACCGTCCCCACCAACAACACAACACCACCATTGCCACCACCAACACACCACCACCGACGGAAACGATGCCATGACTATTACACACATCGCCGCCGCAACCCCCCATAAACGCCTGCTCCAACACCACCTCCACCTACAACTTCAATCAACCACCAATAGCCGACACTCCTCAAACCACCATCACCTCACATCGTCGTCACCTCCACCATTTTCAGCCACCACCATAACTACCATTTCCAACAATAAATAAGATCCAAACCAGATCCTGCCACAATCACTGCGACCACCAGATCCGCCATGACCACCATCACCTCCATCACCATAACCACACCTTACCGCAACCACCGGATCCGCCACCCAACACAGCTAACACTGCACAATCACCGTACGTCCATCAACGCGACCACACCTCACCGCGACCACCAGATCCACCACCCAACACAGCTAACACTCCACAACCACCACCATTTGCAGCCACCACCACAACTACCATTTCCAACGACAAACCAGTTTCGCCACCATCACTGCTACCACCATCATCGCAATCAACGCAACAACCAGATCCGCTATCACCACGACCACCATTCTTGCGGGTTGCTGCATCAACGATTGCAATAGAGAGACGACGGGTTGCTACAACAATGACGGGTTGACAATAGAGGGAGAAGAGGAAGATAATTGAAGATAGAGAGATGAGATAAAATTAGGGTTTGAGTGAGTATAATATTTAATTATTAATTCAATACCTGAATTTCGATTAAAAAAATCTTCACACCTGATTTTTAAACTTTGAAGTTTAAACACCTGAATTTATGTAATTTCCACTATTTTAATTAGGATACAACACGATCCAATAAATTTTAGTACTGAGGTGGAATAATTATTTTTAGCACTCTTGTAGATTTATATAGAGACTATTTGAAATGAAAGTCACAACTTGTGGACCACATATAGAATTCAAACAGCAAAATCGATTACCTTAATTTCGGTGAACCAACGCGAAGTTCTTCATGTACAATAACCAGCTTCGCGAAACACCTTCTCCTATATCCGGATTCTTCAATAGCTTCGAAATCCCCCTTATACGGAAATTAGTGGCCGCGGGCAGGAGGTTTGGTTTTGAAGCACGGGAGATTTCACGTTCAAGTGGGTTTGAAGCACAGAATAGGGATAGAGTTTTTAATATTGGTTTGGATCAGTTTAAGTGGGTTTCAACCTAAATCGACCTAAATAATTTTATAGTAATTCGAAACCCGATCCAACCCCTTTTTATTCTAAACCGATACAACCCGACCCGATTCGGGTTGGGTTGGTTTGGTTTTGCGATTTTCAGTTTATAGACCCAGCCCTACTTGTGGTTGTATCGACTCAAGTTTACTAGATGACTTTTCAGCAGGAATATCTAGCAAATATATAAAAAAAAATCATTTCTCAAATTTAAGTTCAGATTATGTACTTGAAATTGAGTAAATTTGTAATAAAAATATGAAATATAAAATCTTTTTTAAGTTAGAAACGTTATTTGGTCTCTGTTTGGGTTTCATTTTTCCAAAACTCACTTTCAATCACAGATATTCCATAAAATAATATATTACACATAAATCTCAAACATTTTCCTATTTTTTAACAATGCATTTTCCAAAAAATCACTATTTCAATATTTCCCCCAAAATTTCATTTTAGTGGAGGCTTAATGCCCAGCACGTGCAAAGTTGGAAGCATTGGTCCACCAGTTGACCCCATTTACTAAAGGGGAGCCGTTATCTTATGGTTGAGCCGAAGAGGCGATATATTCCACTAAACAACACAGTGTGCGCCAAACATGTCGCATTCAATCCCTTTTGATGGCCATTCAGAACAAGAATTATCATGTGCTTTGGCTTATGATTCATTTTGTGGTCTTTTCCCAGGTTGAGTAATAGACTCTGTTTCCATACAAAATATTTGTGGACTGTATTTTTTGTTGCAAATTTGTACGTTGTTTGCGCATGCCAATTTCATCACCTATCAAGCAAGAATTGGGGCCAACATAACTGTCTAATTAATGGCAACCCAACTTATTAATTGTCACGCAAGAATGTGAGGTTGGCCATGGAATTATTAAGGAACAATGCGTCCCGGTAAGGGAGTGGAGGGAGGCCATACATGTAGGCAACAACAGCACCAGCTCAACAGAAGTATGACCCATATATCGAATCTTTCTGTTTGCTTACCCAATTAATCGTGAGGTGTACAGCGAATGCTTCTAACCGCTCTGCCCTTCATTGAGTGACACGGATGCCATGTGCAATAAATGCACATTTGGTGAAAGTATCAAAACATGATAAGATTAGACAGTACAATCCATCTTAGCAAACGAACCATATATATTTGAGGATAAGATGCATTTCACTATCTTGTAAACACACGTACAAGTCACAACGAATGAATAAACATGTTTACTTTTGAATTGTAACTCGAGAATTTGTTGCTTACTTCATCTTAAGAGGTCCACACTTGAAAGTCATGAAACCACCTGCAAAACAAACATATCAATATCACATTTAGAACCAATCACTGAAAGCATGCTAATGCATTGCAGGTAATTTTTTCTCGCATCAATACGAAAATGCACAACATTATGCAATAACCGCAGTGTGCAAAGCAAAACCAGCATTTGAGGGGTTCCCGGTGCAGAGATCATACTTGCTGTCACCATAGAAACCAAGTGCATGTCCTGTACGCAATATTGGGCATTATAACAAACTAGTTTTTAGCTCTTTCTTTCCTTAATACTATCATACCATCTTCTACTGAACATGCCATAAAAGTTCAGTTCTAAAATAATACAGAAGGCGCCACGAAACTTCTACAACTTGATAGGGAGACGAATTTAAAGAAATCACACATGTAAAATATGTAATTGCAATTTACCATGCAAATTATTCTTTTCCTTTCATTTCTTTGTTCCCTTTTCCTACCAAGTATTTCGCGTGCATGTTCTTCAAATGAAGCAATTTATCTCTAATCCCCCTATTTTAATTAGTAAAATGGCAGCTAAAAATGTAGAAGGTACTATGACTTACCTTAGAGACTAAATATACCAGGTAAACAAGCATCTACTGAAAAGGACAGCATGATTAGAAAATCCCGAAGTAAGAACTGAAGGAGCATTCAGAAAGTTCTAGAAGTAAACAAAATAGTATTTTTTTCTAGTTGACACATTTGATGCCAAAGAGAAAAGTAAATAAGAATGACTGAGTCATTAAAAAAATTCTTAAGTATGAAATAAACAAATGTGGAAAAGAAATTGAAACATTACTTAAAGAATTAAATTGATCTGGTGATACAGAGTACACGAAACTCAATGATTTACCATCCACAAATGATAAGGAATCTAGTGCATATATGGCATGCAGTATTCAAAAGAATTGCTTCTTAGTACTGTCCAATCCAATCAAATCATCCCTACCAAACAGGCTACTCAAGCTTCCTAAGGACTTAGGCTTTGCTTCGACATCCTAAAATCATTAAAAGAGCAATGTTTGAAAAATATGACAATTTGGACACTTTCATCCGGGTAAGCCTTATATGGAGAGAAATCCAAAGGGATCCACGGATAGATTCATCTATACCCAGTGGCTGGGAGAGATATCGGAGCTCTGTTCGCAGTGAACTCCAGTGAATGGCTAGTTTGTTTGGCAGGGAATGCAAAATTCCTCGAATGAGTACCAGGCTTATTGACTTGGAATTGATGACAATTGAGAGGCTAGTCATCAGGAAAAGAAACTCGCAATATCCTTGCAATCAATGTGTTAAGCCCCCTAATGTACATAATGGAATATCACAAATCATACAACTTAATTAAGCATAATTTTTAACACTAATTTTTCCTCCACCACAACATAAGATGTTAACTGCTGGGATAGCGAATTGTACACCAATTCTCGTTTGGAACTTTGGTGCTCATCCTACAAATAGCTCGATTTTAACTCTATCCAGTAACCATGGAGACTTTGTGTCAAAAACAAAGGAATGGCACACACAACTTTTGGATATTCAACAAGACATGTTAAATGATAGGCTATAACGAAACTAATAAATATCTGCCTCGTCCTTTTGAGCTTACGCATATCACCTGAATAAACATGCAAACTGACACTAGCACCTGCAAACACCCGCACACACAAACAACCATGGAGACTTTCTAGACCTGGGAATCCAATTAACCAAGTAAATGTCTTGAAGAAAGCATATAACCAGCAAGAGTTTACAAAAAGTACCATACCCTTTGAAATCAATATCAGATGGACACATCATATAAAAAATTGCAAACGAGAGCGTATCTGATGAGAAAGCCTTGATACAGGATAACAGAACATGGATGCTACGTATTTGTTTTACAAAACATATATTGACAAGTACAAAAAGCTACCTGCTAAAATTATTCTTGTCGATCACAATCTGACTTCTTCCCTTGAAATATGCTGGTGTCAACTAAGATTATTGTGCGTTTTCAATTTCACTTCATCTCACACAGAACAAGGCTCAACATACTAAGGTTGGGTTGTCTTGCCTAAGAACTCGAGACCCTCTGTACGACAACTCATAATCTTCCGAAAGACCTCCCTTAACTGGCGTTCAAGTGGATCCAATCCACTCTTACAAACTTCACAAACTAACGATAACTCGCGTGCACACTCTTTCACGTCTTCCTTCTGTTCCTCTGTTAGTGGAAACTGAGCAGAATCAACCAAGTCTGTTATCTGATGCACACACTTCTCTATTTGACAAATTTCCTTCAACAATCCACTAGAATTTCGATGTTCTCTTTTTTTAGACTCATCCATAATCCGACCATGAAGCAAGAAAAATGGTGCACTCCACGAGAATTGTCGTGGGATTGCAAAAGGAATTTGGATACTACGGTCTTGGCAAGGGATTACTGCAACAAGAGCCCATAAAACGAACATAAGAACAAAGCTCATAGTATAGATTATCATTGCCAAACCATTAGTAGCTGCAAGTTCATTTCCACGGGGAAGAGCCAGATTGTTCGCAATTGACTGGAGTTGCTTTGATGCCGACCAAGAATGAGACACACTCCAAGATAGTGATCTTGAGTGCCCAGATGAACGGTTATGACGATCCTTACCTTTATGGCGTCCAAACGACCGATTTCGATTTGAAAAAACACCTCCTGTATCTTTCTCGTCTAGCATCACAAGTGCCAAATCCATCAAGGATTTTCTTGCTCGACGAAATTGACCTTCACCTGTCATCCTTTGTCGATCATCCAAAGCACATGTAATGATATCTAAATGCTTCTGCCATAGTCGAATCTTCTCAATACCATCGCGACTTGCATTGCAAATATCTAGTGCCTTAATTGCCCGGTCAAAGAATTCAGTAACAAGCCTATCTGCAGGAGGTTTTGAGAGCTGAGCTTTGTTGTTTGCCAATATAACTTTAAACTCCTCCTGACAGCTAATGAATGCATCTAAAAGCTTCTGAATCCATGATATGGAGAGAAGTTCCTCAGGACTAACTGCAGAGAGATCCTTGAACTGGGAGAAAACATGTCTCTGAAACGAATCCACCTCTTGAGCACTAGAATCATGGATTGCTTCCATGGAGTGAATATGATCATCTCTAATACCCAAAATTGGGCGACGAAAAGAAGCAAAAGACAGAGAACTTTGATTAGCCGATGAAGGCATTTTCAGATAGAACGCCTTTGAACTCCTTAAGGAAGTGTTTTTAATAAAGAGAAATATTGTAACCCCAGTCGTATTTAAACCAGATAAACCTCAATTCAGTATCAGCGAAACACCTTCAAAATCCAATAACCAACAGCTAGAAATTTACAAGCACCACTTTCTTCTCAACTGAATTCCCAGATTAAAGTCTGCAAAAAAACTCAGAAAGTTCTCTATAAAAAACCTCTAGTATCAAATTTTCAACGAAATCCCAAATTATAAAAATTTATAACACCCCTTCAAACCGAATCTTTTTCTTCATGAACATAACATCCAATTATAAATAGGTAGCTCGAGCAAACAACAGTTGAACAGAATAAATCAATAACATCCACTAAAATCAACCAAATACAATCAGAATAATCACAGAATCTTAAAATTCAAGATTGTTGAAAAGCCTCAAAATTCAAAAATATTAGACAACATGCAAAACCCAGATCAAGAATTGTCTCAAGAACAGATCTCTTGAAAAGGAATCCAAAAATTTAAAGAAATCAAGGGTCGGATACAAATGGAAACCATATATCTAAGAACTGCAATAACGTGAAAAAAAAATTAAAGAAAGATTGTACCTTGATGAGTAATTTGTGTATTATATGCACAGAAATAAATTTTAAAGGGGAAAAATGGAAGATTTGAAGGGAGAAAAGAGGAAAGAAAAGGGAACCCAGCGAACCCCTCGCCTTTGGTCTGACAAAAGTAAAAGAGGTTCACAAAATGAGGAAAGCGCATACAAGGAAGAGGGTTATTCCTCTCTGCCAGGGGGCCAGCTGGCAGTGGAGCACTGTCCAAGGAAGAAGGAAAATCTTGGAAAGAAGAGAGAGAAACACCTGTGCATAACAAAATGTTTATTTTGCCCTTGTCACTTTTCTTTTATTATTTTCCTTTTGATACATATACTTTGTCTTTGCTTCCATTTGCACCCTCTTACTTTATTATTTTTTTTCTTTTTCAAATTCATCTTTTTTAATATATCTTGAACATTTCTAGTTTGTTGATAACTTTTTTCGAGGAAATGTAGAATGACAAGAATGTTTAGAAAGTATAATTTTCAAATAAATCATAGAAACCCGCTCTTCAAAAAAAAAAAAAAATTCATTTTCTTTTTTTCAATAGCTGTCTTTCTTTTTAATTAATATTAAATCAACTATTTATGAGGAGTGGCACGTCGATAAGAATTGGACTAATATCAATGAAAATCGTACATATAGTTTGGGTTGGTTTTGATATTTTTTACACTTCAAAAATAAAATAAAATTGAGACTTTAAATTATTGTGTAAATTTTGAAATTTCATTTTTATATTGGTATTGCCTTTCTTTTATGATAATCGAAGTTAGCAGGGTGAAGAAAGAATTGAGAAAAATTAGTTAGGTGCATGGTAAACAATTATTTTATAATTATTGTAGCTCTCAAAATCTATATTTGAGCTTTGATAAATAAAAGAACTTTATTTCTGTGCCCGTATATTACAAATAGGTAAACGGTATTGAACGTCCCTACCTTTCAATGTCATTGTGTAAAATGTCTACACATTTCATTTTTTTGACATTTTCACCCATACCTTCCATCTTTCATTGCTCAAAAAGGTCTTTTTCAACCATTTTCCAATTTACCATTATATTCAAATGAAACAAAAAGAAAAGAAAAGCAAAAATAAACAACTAATTGCAGTCATAGTCCTAAATTTTTTAAAATATTACAAATAAGTCCAACATTCTCCACCACCACAACTTTTACAACAACACCAAGCCACCACTTATAGATCCGCATAGCACCACCTTCGTCCACCAAGTCCACCAATGGTACTATGTGGATCTATACGTGGCAGCTGGTAGATTGTGAAAGTGGTGGTGGTGAAGAATTTATGATTTTTTTGTAATTTTTTTTAAAATTTAAGGACTAGAGTTGCAGTTGGTTATTCACCTGTTTCTTTTTATTTCATTTGAATAGGATGGTAAAATCGTCTTTTATTGAAAAAATGGTTGAAAATGACATTTTGCGCAATAAAAGGTGAAAGGTAAGGGTGAAAATGTCAAAAAATAAAAAATATGGACGTTTTGCACAATAACATTAAAAGGTAGGGATGTTGTGTGCTATTTACCCATTACAAATATTAAAATGGCAATGATTGTAATGATGTATATATTTATTTGTTTACTTTTTTTTAGACTATATTATTTCAATAAAAGATCTTCTAAATCTTGAAATTTTAATAAAAATTCGACGAACTTATTATCTTTCTAGACTTGCATCAATTTTTATTTTTCAATTTCTCCAGTCCTGTCTTCTCCCCATTATCTGTTTAAGACGGGTCGGTCGAGTCTCTTGCCCTGTTTAATTTTTTTATTTTAATTTTTTGATAATTCATTTTATTACGTTCATTTATTTGAGTAAGATAATAATATATTTTTTTAATTTTTATTTATTTTTACAAGTTAAATTATTCAAATATATTTGGTAAACTAAGATTTTTATTGTTTGTCATATTTTTTTAAATAATCTTAGTTGTCATTTTTTAATTATAATTAGTGAAATTTCGTGAAAATTTTCATTTAAAGTATTGAATTAAAAAAAATATTTAAACGGGACGGGACGGGGTACCCGTCACGCTTACCCGACCACGTTCATAATTCGAATACCTGATTAAACAGGTAATCCTCTCGCCTGTTCGAGGTGGGGCTAAAAGGATATCAAATAAGTTTTAAATTATTCATCAATGGAAAGAATGAAGAATCGTGCAATTAAGAGATAGAAGTATCGTGCAAGGATTTTAAACGGAGTAATGCTATTTAACACTACTTGTACTTAGTACCAATCTGGGTGGCAATTAGATGTCATTAAATGATAGATTTATTTAAATGTTAAGTCAAAACATCCATAAAATTGCACCTATCAAGTGTGTTCACTTAGACTAGTGATCTAAAACCACTAGTGCCAGATAATATTACTATTTAAATAATTAGGATAGGGAAATTTAAGCATGATGGAAAACATGGACCTTTCACGTTCCAAAGGGAGGGTTAAAAACAATATTTAATTTAGAAAGTTAAAAGCGTAATTTGACAAGTCAGTCCGTTTGGATTGTATTTCAATTTTCAATTTTGAGATATATTTCTGTTAGTCAGTCCGGTTAAAAACAATATTTCTGTTTTGAGGTATATTTTAAGATTTTTGAAAATGCGTTTGATTTGTTATTATGAGAAACTGTTTCTCAAAACAGGAAATTGAAAAACACGTTTGATTTGAAAATTTGATAAATTGTTTAATCACATTTTTTCTATTTATTTGATTATTCAATAAAATAGAACATTTTAATGCTAATATATTATAAAGTAATATATACATTTTAAGATTTTTAAATTATATAATATATTTTTTTGCTATAAAAGTAAAATACAAACAAATAATAAATTGAGTTGACAAAACATAGAATATAAAAATTAACGTGGAAGGAGAATTTTAGCAATTTTCATTTAAATTATTAGAATTTTTATTTAAATTAATTTTTAAATTTTATAATATGTTTTTTAGAATTTTTTATTTTTCATTTTTTGAATTTATTTTTTAAAATTTTATTTTGAATAAATATTGAATTTATATATTTTTATAATATTTTTTAAACGCTTATTGTTATTAATGCATAAAAAATGGAAATTAAGAACAATATTGTTATTAAAATGTTTTAGGAACATTTATATTTTTATCATTTTTGACTGAACAAAAATGTGCCAAAGAGCATAATTTTATTAGTTCGGTAAACCACCCCTAACTTATCGGTTGTTAGCTATGCATTTTATTAATATAACTCAGTAGCATGTAGTGTATATTTTTATAAATGACACATTTAGTTTGTAAAATTGTACTATATAAAATCTATTTAAAATGTGCAACGAAAGCATTCTTTCCCTAATTCTTCTTCACTTCTTGAAGTTGAAAGGATCTTTCGAGTAATCTTATAAATTAGAATTATTGTAGTAGGATACTGACTTGGAGGAATTGAAAGATATTATGGCATCAAGATACGACATCCGAACATATGAGAACTTTAATCTGCTCGAGAGTTCAACGACATTGTTGCAATATGATGTACAAGAGGTTGTTCTAAATCTTTGATCTCTACTAGGACCTACAAATTAGGTACGTATTGATTTTGGTTCCTCGACCCTACTAGCCATTTGCTTTTTGGGAGTATGCAGAAAAGTGAATTTGAAGAAACTTTTTTCTAGCAACATGCTACTAAATAGATATAAATTTGTATATAGCTCAGAGTAAGGGCAGCAGCTAGTTGGAATTGAAGATTTCATTTTTATTTTTCAGTTTTTTACAAAGGTAGAAACCTTGCCATGAGTACAAGGTTGAAATTATAATCTAGTTCTACAGTACCATAAAGAAATTAAGAACAATTTCCATTTCTTGTGAAGAGGAGAATAAAATGCAATCATGAAAAGGCACTGAATTTAGACATTTAAGCATTTTGGTTAACAGACACTGAGACGTACATTTTCTCTATTCACAAGCCAATTTGGTGTCGAAGCTGCTTAAGCAGATAGCGAATGCCTGAAAAGCAGATAGGGGATATCGGTAATCCATCGTGAACATATCTTTACCGACCTTGCCAAATTGGAGGATGATTTTGTCGTGGTCAGATTGGGTTGGCTGAGAAGCCGGTGCATTAGTGGTGGCAGCCGGCGGTTGTGTGGAGACAATCAGCTGAAAGTTCTTCACGGATGCAACTGTTACCCGACCTCTAAAATTGAGGCACCAACATTGCAATTGTTCGTGCCATCTTGGTGCCTTGTTCTTGAGAATCAAGGGTCCTCCTTTACCATCATCATCCCCATTGCACACGCCAGCAATATCATTAAATCGTGAGCTACTGAACTCGGTTGAGTGATCCAGAGATTTTGAGAAAGAAATGCTCCGGAATGAGTCCTCAAGGGAGCTTGGCATGAGCTCAGG